CTTTTTTCTTTTTTTCCCCCCCCCCCCACTCCTCCCAAATGACCCTTTCCCCTCTCTTCCTGTTTGCAGATAACTCCACCTGGATAAATTCCTACATTGCAGCAGGAAGTAGGAAAAACTAAAACAGCATCGCCTGCCTGAAGAGACTGTAGTAGTCTTAATACAACTACACAGAGGGGAGAAAGGTATTCTTCCATCCCTCACAAACACTCTAAAAAAGCATCTGGTATGGTGTAGGGACAGAGCCCTCCAGGAGGAGAGGCACCAAGAGGACGGGGAGGGAGCACCTGTACTTGATTTGTTTTATTTACCAGAAAACACTAAAAGTAAGAACAGGGGTTTCCACTTTCTCATAACAAAGCCAACCCAGACCAGCCAGCTTTCAGTGCTCTCCCCCAGAACAAATTAATATGTCCAAAATCACGGTGAATAACATGCACACTTACCAAAGCTTGTTGTAGGCTTCCAAGCATTCTGGCTTTACGTTGTGAACTGAAAAAAACAAAAGTCAATGACAAATATAGGAAAGGAATAAAGAAAATAAACTGTTAAATATGAAAACATTACTCACACTGTATTTTATACAGACTGCTGGTCTCCCTTTTGGCTAGAAGATTGGAGTGAGCATCCTTCCGGGGATCAACTTTGCGAACAAACAGTGATTTTAACCAGCTGTCTTCACCGGCTCTGTTAGTTGAGGATACCAGTCCCCTACATGTTAATGGAACACGCCATCACTGAATGTTCATTCAAAATGTGAAGATTGTCGAAAACAGTTGAGATACGTTTAAATCAGTCACACTGTATCTTATACAAAGGTATGGTGCTAATTTTTTCTATTCTTTAATCTCTAGCAATGCAACAGGTGCATGTGTATGCAACAAAGCACTGTAGAGACATCCCTGGATGGCCCAGAACTGCTCTGCCTGGCCTACCACTGCCCCTCTTACACCCCTTGCATGCAGAGAAAGCAGGAGCATAGCAAGCCACGGGTGAAGTGCTGCTGTGCTAGAGCCGTTCTTAGTTGATGCAACGAGCCCATGTACTGCTAGTCAGACACACATCTAGTAGTTCTGGAGCTGTTCTAGTTTATACCAGGTCTCAAGACAATACATGGCATAAAACCCTGTCTGTTCCTACACTGATCATAGCCATGCCAAGAAACAGAACTAAGGCTACTCTGTCTTTGCTCACGCAGAATGTATAGGTCTTTCATTTCTTGGAGTCTCCAAACAGCAGAGAATCCCTATGCCTGATGAAGGGTGACTGTGCCTGAAAGCTTGCCAACATTTTTTTCCCCAGCTACTCAGTTGGTCTAAGAAAAGATATCACATCTACTCAAAGAACCTTGCCTGCCTAGGTCTCTCAAGAAACCCATAATCAACAGTAAAAAGGAGGTGCGGAGAAGGCAGTATGCACAAACAGGTTTGTCCACTGTGAATGACAGCAAAAACACCATGCGTGTTCTGGCAGTTTATAAAATACATGTGTGCAAAAGACAAGCTAATGCACCACACAAGAGAAGCTAATTTGGGAATGACTTAAAGAGTGGCAGGGGCCCTGAAGCCTGCACAGATTTTAATTCAGAAAAACAGCAGTTCTAATGTTTGGAATATAGATTCACTGTCTTTGCTCAGTTTACAATTTTTCTTGCTCTGGAACAACTTCACTGACTTTGATGGATGAAAGCTTTAACAGCATGTTTGAGAGCTCACAGAATTGATATACTTAAATTATCTATGTATGACTATATTACAACAACAAACAATAAAAACATAACAGGTAATCATGCTCTGAGTAGACTAGAGGGACTATTTTTTCTTTTCCAATTGGCAGAAGGCCACCTCAACTACCAAATGCGATTCATTAGTTCAGTTCACAACAATAGTAATGATCTTGCCTTAAAAGTAAAAAGCAAACAAAAAAAAAGCATTCATCTTATGCTGATTCTTTGTACCATATTTCTCCTCCTTCTGTCATCATTAGAAGCATTTTGTTCCTCACTCTTCCCTTTCCCTTGAATAATTCTGGCAAGTTTTTGGAATGCTTAAGAGACATCACAACTGGAGGGTTAAACCTCAACTGATTCCTCCAGCCTCAGAGGACAACTCTCCTGCTTCTAATCATTGCCTGGGAGACCTATCAGGGAGTTCGTCTAAATCAGGGGTGGGCAAAATGTGGCCCGCGGGCTGGATGTGACCCACCAGGCCATTCTATCTGGCCTGCGGGACCCCTAAAAAATTTAGAAAATTAATATTTATCTGCCCCAGCCTGTCATGCAGCCTTTGATGGCTTGCCAAAACTCAGTATGCGGCCCTCCGCCCAAAATAACTGCCTGCCCCTGCTCTAAATGAATTACTGTCTTTCAGGTCCTCAAAAGGGAATGAAAATCATTAGGGAAAAAGAGATTGGAAAAACAAATTTCTTTCATAAAATCTTTATGAGCCAGTAGGCTTTCTGCATCTTAGAGCAAGAGTAAAGGAATTTATTTTAACATGCTTTGCAGTTCACTTACACAGACTAAATTTGGGCATTTGCTTCTGAGGAAGCAAAAGACACGTGATGGCAAGGGAAAGAACAACCGGGAGCGAGGTGACCTTCAACATAAAGAAGTGAGTAAAAAAATCTCTCGGTGCTCCACTTACTGGAGACTACATTAACTTTTTTTCACTGTAGGCAAAGAAGCAAACACTTTATTGTGTAGAAAATTATACAGCTTTCCTAAAAGTATTTAAAAGGGTCTCCTGTGCCAGAAATACTACTAGGGTACAGAGGGCTGGAGAACATGCATTTGTTCTGTACCCTTCTCTGTCCCTATAAGCACTGCAAAGGCTCCCAGGGCATCTGTGAGTTGTGATCCCACCCCTGAAGCACTTCCTTTGCTATTCTGGGGGAGTCATTCAACCACCCTGCTTTATTTCCTCCCCCAAAAAACCTCTCTAATAATTAAAGGTTAATGAATATTTATCTTTCATGGAAGGTGTTGAGAGGAATGGGTAATAGCACTTTCATCTTCACTGTTTTACCGATAAGCAATCATGTTTACCTCCTTATTGGTATATGAACTTTACCACTATTCAAAGAATTTGCAGTGTGTTGTGGCCAGAAGTTTATGACAGTTATTTGGTTGCATGGAGGGGGTAGGAGTGGAGGCAGTTCTCAGTTTTACAATGAAATGGTCAAGTGAGTAATGTTTTGCAGCTGCATTGAATCTTTCAACCAAGAACTGGAAAGTGCTTTATAAACAAGGATTAATAAAGCATTACTGTTGTTGTTATTGTTCCCATTGAGCAGAGATTGGCAACACTGACATTTCTGAAAATGGGTGCAGTTAAGGACTGATTTTTTTAATCAACACATCTTCTGACAAATCATGCCTTTTTAAACATGCACGCTCAAAAAAATAAAATACATTTTGTAGTGTAGTTCCATAATTCTGGAAGACAATGTCTTATTCTAGAATAAATGCAGTTACCTTCAGCTAAAACTAAATGCTTACCCTACAAGATAAATAAATTCCACCCCAGGGGGTCTCAGGAGTTTCCCACTTTTTCAAAGTACTTGGGCAGAAAGAGAGATGCAAAAGGCTATTTAACCCACAACTCCTTTTAAAATTTGCTGGGGAAAGGTGAACACAATTATCTGCATTAACAAAATAACAGTTTTAATTCCCTCCAACAGAAATATTATAAGGCACATAATAGGATTATAAACAAAATTTCAGTTTAAAGATCAATCCAATTATAGAGTTACAGAACACAAGCAGAGAAAAAAGGCATATAGAGTATCTGAACATTAACCTTGTGTAACCGAACAATAATACTCTTCTAAAGGAGGAAACATCTGGTGCCAAATTTCTGGAATTAGATCAAAATGTCCCTAATTAGTACAGTGAATTTGCAGGTAACATTCAATCAGTGTGGTTTTTGGAAGGTATCACCTAGGTTGGCATAACTGGGAGAACAGGATCCCTTAGCTCACTGCTATGAAGCCAGAAGGAAGATACCCTGGTTCTTTCTATAACCGTGAATTCTGACACCACCTGGTCCCATCTTCTCGCTAAGGGGCCGTCACAGGGGACATCGTGGTTTCCTACTACTCTGTCCTCTATGGGTACAAAACCTGACGCCTTTACATCCTCTATTTTTCTCTTGAAAAGAAAAATAGAGGACGTAAAGGCATCGGGTTTCGTATCAACAGTCCCAGTCTAGTGTTCCAAGTCCTATCCCAAGTCCCAGCCTAGTATCTTTTTCTCTTCGAGCAACAAATAGAGAACATAAAGGCATCGGGTTTCATATCAATACAGGACAGGACAACCGGACCGTCCTCTGCGATAGCCACCCTACTTCTCACGAGCGCAGGGATGTCCCCTCCTCGTGCCCCAGCAGACCCTCGCTCCCAGACTTCTTTTCCCGATCCGCCCGACCGGATCGTAAGAGATCTTAACGCTGACGTCCGTGATGAGCATCCGCGTCTCCAGCGGCACCAAAGACGTGGCTGCAACAGGGGGACGCACAGAGACACCTCTCCCCCCCGCCCC